CATAACTTAGTTATTTGTGGTCTACCTGAAATTAAAAGTTTAACACAGAGGAGACTCCCAAATCAAGGTTTGACTTGTGGGCCAGGCCCTCCTGTATACCCTAGCCCAGTGGTCGGCAAACTCATTAGTCAGCAGAGCCAAATATCAACAGTACAACGATTGAAATTTCTTTTGAGAGCCAAATTTTTTAAACTTAAACTATATAGGTAGGTACATTGTTATTAACTTAATTAGGGTACTCCTAAGGCTTAGGAAGAGCCACACTCCAGGGGCCAAAGAGCCGCATGTGGCTTGCGAGCCGCAGTTTGCTGACCACGGCCCTAGCCTGTGAAACATCTGGTGGCATCAGGTGGAGAAGGGCTGAGAATTTCAGGAGCATGATATACACAAAGGCTTTGGACTGAGCCTAATCAGGGGTGCACCTGTGTTTACATCCAGGTGAAGAGTGCGGTCAGTCAAAGGGATGAAGAAGGTTCTGCTGGGAGGGTCGGAAACCCTGCAAAGTTGGTGAGAAATGAGGTCTAAACTCAAGGGGCCAGGCAAAGGCCAGGAGTTGGAGGGACAGGAGGGCAGAGCAGTGACTGGTGACCTCAGATGGGGCATCAGGAGCCACTGTGTACAGAAATGTACTAGTGCCCTTTGACAGGTACTGTCCAGTGTGAGACTGCCTTTTCTGACCTGGCTTGTTTTTATTGAGACATAAGGAAAGTATGATAAGGCAGATGGGTGCCAAACTATTTCCTTTGTCACTAGGAAAGCTGCTGCGAGTGCATGGCCTATGCCCGTGGGCAAGTGAGCTTTCTGAGATGACACCCAGGTCATCCTTCCCTCCCCAGGCCCTGGCAGTGTGGACCTATAAGTCTCCTGGTGTGAAGGAACCCAGGAAAGGGCTAGCTGTGCCCCCCCAGGTTCCTTGCAAAATCACCTGTTACATAAGGTAGGAGTGAGGAGAGACCAAGAGGGTTAGAGCTGATGATGCTTCCTCTAATGCAGCGGTTCTCAACCTGTGGGTCGCGACCCCTTTGGGGGTCAAACGACCCTTTCACAGGGGTCGTTCGAAAATACATCCTGCATATCAGATATTTACATTACAATTCAAAATTACAGTTATGAAGTAGCAACGAAAATAATTTTATGGTTGGGGGTCACCACAACATGAGGAACTGTATTAAAGGGTTGCGGCATTAGGAAGGTTGAGAACCGCTGCTCTAATGGAATAAAATGGCCACAGTGAAAGCATCCCAGCCTGATTCCAACAACCACGGCCAGCACCACCCAGGGCATGTCCTGTGCCAGGCATATGCATTGACCCATTTTACTCCCACAGTGGGGGATAGCACCACAGCTGCCTTTTTCCAGATGAGACGAACAGGTAGAGTGGAAGTACCCCGTCTGCTCCAGCTTCATAGGAGAAAATGGAGGAAGTTGGGGCTTTTTTTTAATCCTCACACAGGCTGTATTTTTTATTGATTTGAGAGAGAAAGAAACCTTGAAGTGAGAGAGAAACATAAATTGATTGCCTCCTGTATGTGCTCTGACCAGAGATTGAACCTGCAACCTTTTGGTTTAAGAGACGATCCTCCAACCAACTGAGCCATCTGTCCAGGGTGGCAGTTGGATTCTTAGAGTCCAAACTCACAGGAATCAGAACTGACAGTAGAGGCAGTGGGTGTAGTCACCTCTTAGGAAGTTGTATGAAGTATCAGCATGGTTAAAGGGAATTTTGTTGTTAAAAATTTTGTTGTGAGCAAGAGATGGCCAGGTTGTGGGGAATGTGGGGCCTCGTCCCTCCCATTCCTGCACCATGTCACACGAAACTGAGTGGTAGCAGTGCTGCTGAACCATGTCCTCGAGTGAGCAGCTGGGCCTCAGTCTCCCAGCGCCCAGCACGCACCTGGTGCCTAATGGGTGCTCAGTGGCCGTGCTTTTTTGCTTCCCACACGCCCCCAGTCTGATGTGCACCAGATTACTTGGTTAGGGGTTGGGTTCTCCATCCACGTCCATTGGGGGCGGTGGGGTGGTTCTCCAGTGTCTCTGTTCTTAGGTGTTAGCAATTGTACAAGGAGAAGGTCCAGGTGGATTAGCCTGGTGCAGATCAGTGGATGCCAGTCACTCCGTTCAGCAGTGAACCTGCGCAGGGGGGCCTGGTCCCATCGTGTGCTGGACAAGGAGGCTCTTTATAAAGTCCCCACCTAAGGCTTGGTCTCCCTCAAGGTGTGAGGAGAGGGATGGGCTCCCAGGATGTCACACCCTGCGCTGTCAGCAGGGGACAGCAGAAACATATGTTCAGTCTGTCCTGTGAGATTCCATTCGGGAATTTTGGTGGGCATCTGGGCACCTGGTGGGTGGGCGCTGGGCCAGTGTGGGGGGCACACCACTTGAGTCCCATCTGTCCCCGCTTCTCAGGCCTGCATTCCCGCGTCTGTGTTCCATGCGGTGTGAGAGTGAGCTGGCCCAGGTGTATGGGGTGGCTTGTCATTTGGGACCAGATATTCTGTGCCTGTTGTGCCCTGTCCTCTTTTTCCACCCACAGGCCCTGTCCCTGTTCATTTCTTAACTTCCCTCCACATTCCATTCCTGGGCAATCATTCCTCTCCAGCCCTCCTCCCCAACCCACCATTCCTGAGCCCCAGGACTGTACACTGGGCCCTCCTGGGACTGATGGAACCAGGGACAATCCACTGGCTGGCAAATGGATGTGT